TCAAACCTTTATCTCTTTCTTTCTCTCCCCCTCTTTTTAGAGCGCAGCTCTTAGGGGCCCGTTTCCGGCTTGAGCGGCGTCGGCGTCGCCGTCGGCGTCGGCGTAACCGCGAGGTCACGTGACCCCCCGCGGTCACGTGGCCCCCTTAGGTCACTTGACCCCCCTGAGGTCTCGTGACCCCCTCAGGTCACGTGACCCCCCTCAGGTCACGTGACCCCCTCGGGTCATGTGTCCCCCCTCAGGTCACGTGTCCCCCCTCAGGTCACTTGACCTGCCTCAGATCATGTAACCCCCTGAGGCCACGTGACCCTCTCAGGCCACGTGACCCCACTGAGGCCACGTGACCCCCCGGGCTCAAGTGATCCCCACAGGTCAAGTGACCCCTGAGGTCACGTGACGCCCTCAGGTCACGTGACCCCCTGAAGTCACGTGACCCCCCTGAGGTCACGTGACCCCCTGATGTCACGTGACCCCCTGATGTCACGTGACCCCCTCAGGTCACTTGACCCCCCTGAGGTCACGTGACCCCCTCAGGTCACTTGACCCGCCTCAGATCACGTAACCCCCTGAGGCCACGTGACCCCCTCAGGCCACGTGACCCCCTCAGGCCACGTGACCCCCCTGAGGTCACGTGACCCCCTTGGGGACACGTGACCCCCGAGTTCACGTGACCCCCTGAAGTCACGCGACCCCCAAGGTCACGTGACCCCCCTGACGTCACGCGAGCCCCCTTAGGTCACGTGACCTCAAGGAGTCACCTATCCCTCAGTACGCTTCCATCTTCCTCCTCAAGAGCTGCGCTCTAACCGGCGTTACAGGGAATTGTAAACGGCTTCCATTTTTTTAATGTCTAACAGACATTAAAAATAGCCCCCATCATCACGCAGTTCGAGTATTACAGGACTCCGTAATTTCGTTTCAGTCAGTTGTGCGGGACAAACTAGATGCCTCTATCGCAGCACATTTTTGGTCCGGACTGGCCCAATCAAAGGGTATGTACCTCAGGCTTCACAACAAAAAAGTTTGAGGGGAGCCGGTTGTCGACTCACAAATATGATGGCACGCAGCCAAAACAGCTGCCGAATGCGGCCAAGCCTGCAAGTTACGCGAAAAGCACAACGTCACGGCGTTTGTCATCTTACTGAGTGTGTGATATCATCGGCTAAACCAATCAAACGCAGCGAACGTGCTGTGGCATTGCCGTTTTATTAGAGTGTCTGTGTTAACATAACCTTTGGCTATGTTTTCAAATATGGTGACACCGAATATAAAGGGGGGGAATTTCCGTAACCTCAGATGATGATTTCAACGTCATGTAGACGGCTTTTCTAAAAGGTATAAATATAGCTCAATATTGTTAAAGTTTTATTTGTATGACTCACCGAAAATAACAATCCTCTTCGATAGTGCGCCAACGTCAAGTTCGTCGACAGAACCGAGCTTCATTAAATTAATGGAAATAGAACGTGGTGGTGAAGTTGCGGTGTTGGAGGAGAATTACATAAATGACCAGGACCGGACGACACATTTCTTGTCTGTGCCTCATCATTTATCTAATTCTCTTATCATTAAATTGCAACGCAGAATAATAACTAGTAAAGGGGTTGTAAAAGGGTCTCGAAAATTTTGTTTATCAGATTCATTTCACCTGCGTATGAAAATTATCAGATTTTGTTTCTGGCTGGACGTGTATGATCTTCCCTTGCTAACCATAACACACTTATTGACATGACTTGAATTGTAGGACTGTAGAAGATATACAGGGTGAATTTTTTTAAATTCGAACAGATTTATTACGAACAAAACATGCACTAATACGGTTTGTGCAAGTGAGTTATACGGCCAGGGCGACATTATGTGAGTGGCTAATCTTTGCGATAAGCCGGCGAATTCACTAAAATTCTTTAAGTAACTTTTTTCATTATTAAAAGTAGATTTATGGTTACAATTAAAAAACTTAGAGAGCGCCATCGAAAACCACTACATCATCTCTTTTTAGGACAACATGAAGCTCGTGGGAAACTCGGGTGCGCACGAACGTTACCACTCGTGACGGAGGCGCAAAGGTAGCAGTGGCGGAACCCGATTATGATCTAGTCATCCGCGTTCCGCGGCTGCTATCTTTGCGCCTGCTTTACGAGTGGTAACTTTGGCGCGCCCCCGAGTTTCCCACGAGCTTCAAGTCGTTCAAAAAAGAGTTAATTTAGTGATTTTCGACAACGCTCTTTAAGTCTCTAATTGGAACCATATGTCTATTTTTACTGATTCAAAAGTTAATTCACGAATTTTAATTGATTACCCGACTTATCCAAAGATTAGCCACCCACATAATGTCCCCCTGGTGGTGTAACGCAGCTGCACAAACCGTATTAGTGCATCTTTTACGCATCTCTTGTAATAAATCCCTTCGAATTTTCAAAAAATCACACGGCATACTCCTTGTTTCGTTTTTACTATCTTGTATTTATTTCACTGCTCTATCCGTTCAATTGAACAAGTTTCGGAAGTTCTCGCTTACATTTTATTAATTCTTTTATTTTCACAAAGACAACACAATAAAAAACTAGGGCTGCGCAATTGATTATTAACCTACCAAATTAATCAATTAAAGCTTCGATCGCAAATATTTTTAACCACTTCATCGGTATATTTTTGTATGAACCAAAAATAATGAAAAATTAAACGCTTTCACCATGCACACTTGAAAGATTCTATATGTGTCAACGGCATATTTTAGGTAAACTTGTAACCTCAAGTAAACTATTAGCCCCGAGAACATGGCGTGGCGCCACCTGACGGGCCTATCGTTGTGATGTAGATGGGAGATCACGTGACCGTTTCCTGCACTCTGCGTCAAAGGTGGAGTGTCTCGGTCTTCACTTTTTTTAATACTACGGGTGTTTAAGGCTTCTTTAGCCCAATGTTTCGTTTCACTTCTCGACCCGGTCTAGTTCCTAAATCGGCTACCGTACGAATGCTTCCGGGGAGCCGGTGACCGTTTGCAGGCGAGCAGGGAAACGTTTACTGCACGGAAGCGCGGGCGCGTGGACTAGAGGGTACGGGTCAACTTGTTGTCGTTTTCGGTGGCTGTTTCGCGCACCGCAATGGATTTCAGTTGCGCTGTCTGTTTTCAGTAGTGCTTCCTGTAAGCAGTATCAATGTGTTTGTGGACAAAGCCCACGAAACATCCCGGCTGCTGCTTGAGGGCGAAGGTGTTCTTGAAGCGGGACACGTGTTTTTTAGTATCAAGAAGCTGGATAAGGATTGCTACACTTCTATTGGATTCGTTCTCCAAACATCGGCACTCACTTCGTACACGCACGAGCTAGAGATAACACTGAATGGAAGAAACGTCGGTGACACATCGTGCTCCTGCGTTGTGAAATCAATCGAGGAGCTCGCGGTCAGAGCCGGGAACGGAACAACTGGCGCAGTCTTAGAATTGCGAATTGGGATGATCGGTGAAGTGCGGCACCTTTTTCCAGAAATAATCGGTCGTCTCCCGGTGTTCTCGTGGCTCAGGAATAAAAAAAAGAAAAAAAATAATTGTCGTGGCTCAGTGGTAACATGCTTGCTTCCCGATTCGCGAGTCGCAGGGTCAATACGATGCATTTGAAAATTTCTTCTACACTTTTTTGAAGCACAGGTTTGGTAACTTTTTTTGCGATGTCAGAATTTTCCAGCGACGAATATTAAAGCTTGTTGATAACATTTATTTTCATAAACTAATATAAGATCATCTAAAGGCGAATGACAGTTGTTCGTGTGAAGCATTGTTGCTTTTCTTTCTTCTGTAAAAAATATTATGCAAATACTCCAGTAGCTAGGTGCACTAGAGTTGTAAAACTGTCTTGTTAGGGGCCCCTACAAGATAGGCAGATGGGTTACAAAAAGAAAAATATTACTTGCAAATACGAGTGCAGCTACTTGTATCAGAAACCTTTAAAAGAGCCACATAAAATTCTCCCATTTAGGCAGCTGCTGGTTGCTTAATTACCACTCAGCTGTAAGTGAAGTTTCCATTTAAATAGTCAGTGAAAGATTATGGCTTGTTGACCTCTGTAAATTACACTTTCAAGTATATTAGCACTCAGCTCTACTTGCATTGCGTGTCGCCAACTTGTATATACATTTTTAACCCCATAGTTCTAATGATTTTGAAGCTGTATGAGAAAGGTACTGCTACATAGGGGGGGACTGTTCACATTTTATTAATCATATTGGAATGCTTCTCCTTGAGGTAGATGTGGAAGCTGGTGTTTGGGTCGGTAGCGTAACTGCGGCATTATGGCATCGCGGCACTGAACAGTACTTTACCATTACTCCCTGAGCTCGAAAGCTGCCGAAGCGGATCCACGCGTGTACTGATCAGGCTACAAACACAGAAAAAATGCTAAAGTACCGAGCGAACGGTTTCGGAAAGCCCCGACCAAAGCAAGTCGTAATAGCTGGCCTTATCACGTGATTCTCCATCCTGCGTCACGGTCGAGCGATCACAGATCTCCAATCGGTCCCGCTCGGGGCCAATAGGGGGCGAGATTTGTAACTTCAGGCAAGTGCAGCAGGTTACGCGCGTCTCGGCCACCTGAACGCCGTGCGAGTGTCCCTTTAGCTTAGCAGAGAGTATTGTGAACAATCGAAGGGGGTCGCTCTTGCCGGAGGATATCAACGGACATCTTTTCCTCAACCAGCTGAAGTAATAATGTGAGAGTCTTTTGGCCTGTCCTCAACCACACATTCAGGTTGATTCATAATCGAAATTCTATATTACGCCACTTATCACGTATTCAAAAGAACAAAAATGTAATTTTAATTTAAAAAGTTATACGTGGAAACTAACGAGACCGACTAATCGATTAATTAATCGTTTAAAGGTGTCGACTAGTCGCGTTAAAATGTTTAATCGACGCCAAGCCCTTGAAATAACACGTGCGTAATTCTTGTAAATCGCTCAACCAGAAAACACATCAGCACTCCCACTTGAAGCAGTAACAGCTTACCGTCGGAGACGCCTAGCCTTGCGCCTTTCACAGCCACCACTGCAGCATGCCTGCCATTGAATTTCTCGACCTGACAAAGAAGAGTGCACATTGAGAACAAAGAGAGCCCACACACAAGTTCCATATGCGTTCCTTCTCAGGTACATTGAATTTCCTGTGACTTCTGTAGTCAAGATACATTAACGCTTAGTGATGAGTACTAAAAGATTGACGAAGGACGGGACAAAAAAAAATGTTGACGAATGCTGACATGACTTTTCTTACACACCCTTTCACCTGAAAATAAGCCGCAGTGGGCGAGCCATTCTATCGGATTCATTTGGTCGGTAAAAGTTTATGAACCATGTAGATAATCTACCCAAAAAGCGTAACGAACTTGCTCCGCCTTGAAAAAAAAAAAAATAGTGCGTCGTTTGCTGCGCGACATGGTAAATATCGGCAGCATCAATTTTAGAAGCGAGAGGAAGCGAAGCTCGCTACTGATCGAGAAGGACGACATCGTCGGGAAACGATGCTCATTTATGGAAAACAGGACAGGACGATTTTCTACCTTGTGCTGTCGAGGGTGACGATAGAATACACCTGTAATTTTGACGGATGACGTATTAAACTGTGATAGAGGTAAGACGTGAGATTGATTGCTTACGGAAAGTACCTTGAAAACGGCGGCAATGAAGAGGATGTCTAAAGGCGCACGCCACCTCTCACAGATGAATAAATACAGCTATAGGTGCGTGATCTCGAGGCATTCATGATGTAATAATTTCAGCCGAGAAGCAGACGGAATCCAGTCAAGCAGCAAGGCGGTGGCGTTACTTGACCATCTCAATCAAGATCATTACGACGTCCAAAGCATTTTCTTGTTGCTCCACCGAACGCTCTGCGGGTGCATTCGCATCGCTGCAAATGTTTGTGTCATGGGTGAGCATCAAGCACACGAAGGAAAACAGGAGCCATCAGCGTTGACGAAGTGTGTCGAAGGAGCCGCGGCGGTTGCTAGCACTAGCTGCGCTCCACGAATCGGGCATACTGAAGACTTCGACGACGACGCTATTCGTTGGATTCTCACGTCGTCACACAGAAGCTACCACAAACAAAATCGAATGCATGTACGTCTTAGCGACTTGAACGCGGTTACGCAAAGCGCTAAGAAATCCCTTCGAGAGTCCGGTGTCTCTCCCGGCCACTTTGATGTCACCATCCATGATCGCTGTCACGCTGAAAAAATATATATTGTCAAACCGTGACGTCACTGACGTGAGGGATATGAGGAGCCAAGTTACATCAGGTACAAGGTTATGCAGAATTAACTGTACTCCTCCAAGTGATCACCAGAATCCGAACGTCAGTAACCTTCGGGAAAGACGCATGCTGATGTTTAAGTAATGCTACGGCATACATAGAGGCTTCAAGTGGCAACAACAATAGATTAATGTGGCTCAGTCGACACCCTGAACTAGCAGGATCCACAACTACAGCCGAACATCGGCTGTACGCACTGGCCCATTTACGACCGTGGAAAAGCATGAGCGCACGGTCTCACGGCGAGGGCGATAATGGCGATTGAATGACAACGTATTGTTGAACCAGTGCGCTGTGTCTTTCTCGGAAACGGGTAGCGGCAAGGGAAATCCCGCTAAGTGAATGCGCTATGTAAGTTTACAGAAAATCCTGAAAGACTAGAGTGCTGACACATCTGTGAAAAGCGTTCTGCCTTATCTGTGCAAGAGTCATCGTGAATTTATGTTTAGTTTCAAATAGGGCGGATAAAAAAATCTAGATTATTGAACTCATAATTTCCGTTCTTATTTAAATATCTATTTAAATCACATGCATTCGTTTTATAATAGTTATACAAAAATCCTATACAAATTAAAAACTACATTTATCTTCAAAATAAGTGCATTCTTAAAAAAGAATGCACTTAATAAAAAAGTCTTAAAAAAGTGATATTTTATAGTTCAAGTCTAATGTCACAACGTCACGCGATTTGGCCACGTGACATGCCACCGTGACGGCACGCCACATGATTGAACGATGTCACGTGCGTTGCCTGCGTGACAACACGACGTCAAGTAGTGATGTCAACTTACGTCATTGATGTGCATTCAAGTTACGTCATTCACCTAGATTCACCGCCACGTCACGTAAACCAACGTTGCGCAACGTGATGTGAAGTCATGTTACTCCACGACTCGACACACAAGGTTACAACGTTACATTTCCTTCAAGAGAGTATGTACCGACGCACAGGACAACCAGTTTCTGATATTAGGGGCTTGCTTTATAAGGCCCATATTCCATGCTCTAAAAGACGCCAGATAGTTTTGCACTGATTATGCGCTATCAATCGCTTTCGGTTAAAACACTGATTTTGGAATTCATCCAAACAATCATCTAGCAAGAAAGGTTGTTTTTCAGAGCGTAACAAAAAAGCAGTCTCCTTCTTCTGTAAAAAGGAATCGGTGTGTTTTCTTTCTCTCTGCACTTCGCTCGCATCACTCAATACTGTTGAGAACTAAATATCCAACGAGTGTGAAAGGTGAGATAAGGTGAGAAAGAAGAGTGTGCGCGGCTCACCCCTTTTCTCTGAAAGTCTCATTTAGAGTCTCACTCTTAGCTTGAATATATCAGTAAGCCGCACGGGTGCCGCTAGTCTTCACTCATTCGTTATTTTCTAGCGACCAAAGTTCTTATGATTTTGGCTACAGTCAGCGACAGGGTAAGAGTTCATTAAAATCCCTGCCTTCAGCACAAGGTCATTGCCCTTTGTCGAACTTTGACTGCCAGCGGTGGCAGTAAGCTCGCGCTAAAGGTGGAGTATCCGCTGAATTGTGTACCTCTTACCGACTGTACAATTATTTTAACTAACCCGCATTCCTTATTTTTTTAGCTTCATCGGACCACAGTATTTTAGGATGAAACCGTTTGTTAATGTTTGTATGGCTTTTTATATCCTGATTTTGGTAAACGTCTTTTACAAATGATCGTGATATTCATCTGAAGCACATCATATTTTGATGTGCTGATGCATTTATGCGATGAAAGCCCGTTCACTCACAATACACACAAAAATTTGTTTTGGCTAGTTCCTTAGTAGAGGTACCAAATGGTTCATATTCCTTCAGCATCAAGAGTGCTTTAACGAGGTATACTTTGCTGAGTAATTAAATTAGTAATTGTTTCATTTTGTAAAGAATATTCTGAAGGCGCAGATACATTAAACCAACTGATAATGAATATGTAAGCTACAAGATGTATTAAAGGGTTTATGTAGCCTTCCATAAATATGATTTAAATCTAATTTGCTTTTTTCGTATAAAATTTATAGTTTTTTTATATTTTCTTTTACCCTGCTTTAAAGCCAGACTGACATATGAGTTGCAAATCAACCGCGAGATTATTTCATTGCGATAGGGACACTGATGACATTTTAATAGATTCCGGAAAAAAAAGCCGCTTGCATGCACAGTATATTCAATTCTTGTATATGAAAAAATTTTTCCTCACAAGGAGTTCTGACCGGGAATTATTTGAGTAATGTGCCAAAAATTGAAATCGTCCAAACAAACCTGATCACCGTAGAGGGTAAGTTGTACACGGCCGGTGTGGTCTGTGATCCAAATGTTTCTCCTTGCTTCCTGTCCAGTGTATGAGGGCTCGAAACAATCGTCCGATTTATCGGTGCATTCCCCGATACCGATTATATCTGCAAACCAAGTTGCGGTATCGAAAAACGACAGAACAAAAGGTCAGTGATACAGACAAAAAAAAAAGAATCCACAAGTATTAAAATTTCATATTAAGTCCCCATTCGCGTCGAACTTCAAATAAAAATAAATCGCCTGACTTAGAGATTCTATCAAAATGTAATTAATATATTATAACACTTGATGATGTTTCTAACAAAGAGCACTTCTTCGTATTGCAATGCTGAAAATATGAGAGATGGCGAAGCAATTTCGTGTGCCATAAATTACTTTTTTCTTTTATAATACAGGCGTCTCTTTTATGGGGTTATTCCATCACTTTCTCTGGAATGCAATAGCGCATAAAATTTGGCAATGAAATGCCGTCACGTAAACTACACCAGTCGTGCACACGTTACTCGATACTGAACCAAATCTCCCGTCAGAAATTTGGTTCAGTATTGCGTGTTTTAGTATTGAGTAATGTTTTATTGCGTATATCAGCAAACGCAAGCACTGTGCATTTGCGTTTGCGTTGCGTGCTCCAGGCTGCACATGCTTGTTGTTGCCATGCGCCAATCCAAGACCACAGTTTGGCCTAAGCGCACACACGGTGGGGAGCACGCGCCTACAAACAGTGCAAACTGTTTACACTGTTTGTGCAAATAAATATTAAGTGCAAACAAGACGTGACATGCCAAAGTACACCCGGTACATAATTAATTACTTCTCGTTGTTTTATCCAAAACCTGGTGTTTTTTTTTTTTAATTTTGTTCGTTACTTAGTATGAAATTACGCGGCTCTAAATTCAGTCTTCGGTTGCACTGTTGTAGGCGTGGCCCATGTGCAGACGTTTCATATCACGTGAATCAGGATTCTTCGAGCGGATAGTGCCCTCATCTGACCTGAGCAAATGCAGACTTGTTTGTAAAAGCGCGTTGGCGTATTAGGTTACGTATCTTACCGGGTAGAATATACTACAGATCCTAGCGAAGGCAAAACTCATCAACGCACATCTGAGAAGATTCATGCTTTTAAGAAGGACGCGTAACGACAAGGTAAATTTTAGGATTACGTACAAGGCAATGTATACTGATCTGAGGGAGACAAGACCGCTGCATCAGCACAAGTCGTCAGGTTTTTTACCTTGCCTGTGCTTCGAACCCAACTTAACAACATGACAGCCGACGCTGGTTGAGTTTCCTTCGAAGTAATTAGATGAGACCAACGCCAGCTGGGTCACCGACTTCCACAGTACCAACAGGAACGTAGCAATGCACCTTTGGTGACCTATCGCCCGTCACATGCTAAAAGCCCAGCGGCAAATGGCCCTCAAATGAATTTATATCACCCGGGCAGCCAATCGCTTCACCTAATTTTTCTTTAACATCGTTCACGTCATGGCTTGGCGAACTATATTTTTTTTTTTAACCTGGCACCGAGAGTGGTTTGCTGCTTGACATGCTGATATCGGCATGTCACGCAGCAGACGAGGCATTACTTTCTCGAATACGGAGCGAGTCTGATACGTATCCGGATGAAGCATCTACTGTCAATGACTGTATGTGTCATCGACTGCGTTGAAGAAAATAAAAAGGCCGCTGGAGTTTCTCGCGGTCACGTTCCGTCCTAGCCAAGCACAGTAACAGGGCTGTAATGCGATGCTGTTCCTCATGCTGTAGCCGACAACAAGATGGCTTTCATGAAAAAAGCTTCCCCGGTTTATGGTTTCGGGTTCTTTTTTCTAGGGCTGGGCGTCGATTAAAAGTTTTAACCCGATTAATCGCCACCCTTTAATCGATTAATTAATCGATTAATCGGTCTCGTTTATTTCATTGCAAAATATTAAAAAAGTATATTTTTTTTGCTGAATCTGTGATAAACGGTGCAATGTATAACTTAGATTATGAATTAATCTCGATATGTAGTTAAGAAGAGTATCAGATACCTTTCGCTAAATATTACTTTTGCCGCGTGAGGCAAAGATGTTCGTTGATATTCTCTAGAAAGAGCGGCTTCCTTTCATTGTTCACAATAATCTCTACTGCGCTAAACAGACACTCGAACTACGTGGAAATGGCCGGGGACATGCGTAACCTCTGTACTTAATCGGATGCTATAAAAATATCGCCCCTGTACAGTTTAACTTGTTCTAAAATTTGACCTAAAGGTCACCCTTCGTACAGGCGTATTCGCCAACGTCTGCGTTATGGAAGTGTTTAATTTTGAGTTTTTTTTGGTTCGTCTAAATTTTACCGATTAACCAGTTAAAAAATTTAATCGCGATTAAAGCATTAATCGATTAATCGGTAGGTTAATCGATCATTTGCCAGCCCTACTTTTTTCCATTAACACCTTCCGTAAAAATGCGAAGTAAAAAAACTAAAATCACGAATGGTTTAACTAAGGCCCGTTCACACCCTTGAGGTGGGCTACTACTGACTGAGACAAGACCGGTTTTGAGCCTTTTGTGACGGCTTACAACCTGCTGCGCCGCCGCGGAGCCGATCGTAAGCTGTTACGAAAAGGCCTAAAATCCGTTTTAGCCCCTTCGGTCCTAAGAAGCTGCAAGTCAGTGAACGGGAATTTATTCCCTTCCAGATGTCACATACCGATGGCGGTGCCCTTGTTGGTGCGCTGAAGGTCTTTTACCATAGCAAACTTGAAAGCCGACAGTGTCGGAATCCGAGGGGTAGCCTCGTAGCAAGGAGTCACAGTCGTCTGGTCGGTGAACAGCAGCTCGTTATCGTTCTCCACAGAAACATAGGTCCGATCGGCCGGTGTTAAGTCACCCCCCGAGATGTAGTAGACCTGAAAGAAATCGCAGGATTCAACAAACCAGTGCGCTGAGAACCAGCGCTCCCGCTATGGCCCTGTTTATGATGTACGTTTTGTGTTTGTGTTGTATTAACCATAGTGCGGTATAAAATGTGCTTTCTGTGTCTCATCGTTAGTGTAATTGCGCGGTCGTAATGCTTGCCAATTATGTCTTGGACTCTGTTGAAAGAGGTGATGATATTGAATAAAGATACTAGTGGCAAAAGGGTGCTCTTTGATTAAAAGCCAGGGTACGGTGTATACAATTGCGAACCCATTCTTTTTAGGTTATACTTGTCAGTTTTTGGAACGCCATCTGACCACTTACAATAGACACTTAATGTTCCCCTTCCGTATATGGGTTGCCTTTAATTTTCTCCGACAAACTGATGACATGACGTAATGCAATGACTAGACGTGGCATATCAGTCGAATGTGGGGGCCAAAAACAACCCGTACAACACTTTGAATGACTACATTCGTTATGCATTCACAAAATTTTGATTGTAGTGTGTGAATCTCGCCATTGAATCTCATTAAATGTTTGAAAATGACTTCATATTTTCATAGCTTGTGGGATATCTCTGACAATAAAAACAATTCCAAGTCCATCTCCAAAAAACAGAAAGATTTGTATCTGATGTACGATAACAAAGTAGAACGAGAATTTAACCCCCAAAAGACTTCTTATCGTTGAACTGTACATTAGAAGATAATAAGACCGCCCCGAAAAAAGATGCAACTAGATAAGGATAGGAGCCACAAATATACATAATAACCCACCTCCCCCAGTCAAACGCACATCAGTTCATAGTGACCCAGAATACTCGCACGTTTCAGTTCAAAGAAAATACAACTACATTCGGCATTCGTCCATAGGTGTAAAACGTAAAAGCCAAATGTTATATTCTCAAAAACGAGAGGTCGTAAAGCAGTGGTGAATTAAAGAAACAAAGAATTTTAATGTATCCATTTTGTGCCAAAACAACTATATATCATTTGGTGTCGCGAGCATCGACGAAGTCGTCCGAGCGAGCAGGTCAAGTCTTATTTTAAGCGCATTCTTATTTCAGAAACATCGAATCCCAAAACGCAAGCTAACTTAGTGATTGAACTGTAACGTTAGAGGAGAGCGATGAAGATGTAAAGAAAAAAAATCGGTGATAATGTTGAACCCCTCTATCTTAATAGTAGGTTCGTTTGCTGCCAACACTGCCACGCATTGAGTAATGTTATACTTCGCGAATGTTATATTTCCCATTTTGGTCTTGCCATGAAGGACTCACTTTGTTGAGTTGAATTCTCTCGTAGAATCCCACCCACTTGCAACATCGGTTACTCATTACCATGGCGTTGATCTCAGCGCTCTCGTCCCGCAGTTCAACAGAGAACATGTACAGGCCGTCCTTGGGGTGAATGGAAGACTTGTGGGTGACGCGTGCTCGAATAGTCCACCTGAACCGAAGAGCAGTGCGAATTTATTACCAATCATAATTTAACACAGAATAAGTTTCGCCAGCCGAATTGCATGATAAAGCCGTCATGCAGAAGAGGTACGTGCCAGCGTTAAATAGAGACACGTTACTATAGTTACGATGGTTATCTAGGGCAGCCTCTTGCAATCAACATGACCGAGAGCGACGTTCGGTTTTTCGCCGCTTCAAATATTGGGCATTCTTCTGCATGCTCGACGTGCGTCTCGACTTCAATCAGCAAAAGAAAAGATTGAAGTACTTCAAATTACACGTTGTAACACGACCGCTGGATCCACAGGTTCTCAGAAACAGCTGACCAGGACACTATATACTGACCGGCTGTGCTTCACTGACAAGGCCTAGCAGCAACGCGCTTCTGAGCTCCTTCCCCACTAACGGTCGATTTGCTGAAAAAAGACCGCACAATATTTTTTTTTTCTTAAGTGGACCGTTTTGTATGGATAGCGAGACGAGACCCTGACCTTTATTTTACGCTCAGATGGCCACTCTGGTACGCTCAGCATGGTATTGTGACTTTCAGAGTAGAAAGCGGTGGTGGCGGACGCTGTCGCAGGTTGGATCTGCTGTTTTGTTTGTAGTAGAGCTCGTATAAACATGCATAATTTTCAGATCACGTAGTATGTGCAAATTATGGTTTGAATATGTCTCTTTCATTCCGGCGTGACGGCGATAAAAACATAAACGAGGGTCGGTAGAGCATAGCTCTTGGTATAACACGATGCTAGCCCAGCACTTCACCTGCCGTACGTCGCGACAGCATTGAGTCGCAACGCAGTTCGTAAAAGCCGTTGGAAAATTTTGGTCCTGTAACCAGCGGTTACCAAGAAGCAGTCCGACCGGCATCGTCAGAGGTAACCAGATATGTCTCAAATACTCTACTCAAGATACTGTATTTCAAACAGTTTTGGTAGTAATTTGGTGTCTTGAAACTACATTTGATGGAAACTATTTGCTACACCCTCCTAATTACATTTCTCAGTTCCTCTTACTTATTATTTGTAAAGGGAGCTTCTGGTAAACCTCACAACAGCCTGCCACGCTTCGCTAGGAGACCTAGCTTCTTCGGGGCTAGGTTTCCTAATGAAACGTCAGCACGTCGGTCTGAGTTTTTGCAGGCGCTCCCCCTTCACGTTCTTCTGCCAGCTTCGCTCCCCCCGGTGTTTTGTTCACAACCAAAAATCCCAAAACACATTTTAGAATTAAAAAAAAAAAAAACACGCGGAAACTTTTTACGGGAATAGGAATCAGCCCACCCTACGCATATTTGAGCGATCACAAACTTGAAGTGGAAGCTTGAAGCAGGAGCCGATATCGACGCCACCGACGCTCTGCTGTTATCTTCTGTTTCCTTTCTAGTTCTTGGGCACAAGTTCGCCCCATTAAACGTTTCAGTTTCCTCAGTTATTTTTGTTTCCTGTTTTGTTCCTTCGTGACAATATTTTTGTTTGCTCTTTGTAACAGTCACCAGTGTGATACTACCTGCAATGAAACTGCATAAAATAGCCCTGCGATTTTCTTTTCTTTGCTTTTGCTTCTTGTAAACATAGTATTATGGTGTCAAGGAAGTCGATATTCCCGCGTGCATGGCCGAAAGGGAATGCTTCTCCGTACTTGTAAAAGATTTTAGCTTACTCTTATCCCTAGGCCGCTAAACTCGTAAAACACAAAGTTGTGGCTGAAGTTCATGGAGCGCACCGATTCGCCTGTCACGACGATGACTTCGCGCTTTTTCGCTGCCGTCCCATCGTCGGTCCGCGAACTTTTGGCTCCAACCTTGTGTCTCACGAGTTTGGGGCCCCTAGTGTAAAATATAACGAGGCCAGATTTACCTTGGCGAGTCAGTCTCGCCCTTTGCAATCGCATATTTTAGGCCGTATATTCGAGATACCGAGTGTAATAAACAACGACCCCAACGCAGACTTGCCGACTTACTCACTCCCGCAGTCTCGCGCTAAGCAGCGTTCACGCCGACCCATCGTCGCTCTCTGCTGCCGCCGTGGACGCTCACTGCTTTTCTCGATGCTCGTTCTTTCTTTTGTTTCGGGATCAAGTTCGCCAGATTAAACGTTTAGTTTTTGCCTGTCCACTCGCCACCTCATTAATTGTAATTCTTGACAATATTACGCAACGCAGAAGTACGTTGAAAAGAACTTAAATTACTCACTAAGTATTTGAACTCCAGCCAAGATATTTTGCAGGAAACGTTAAACCTTAAATACCTTAAATACAATTTTATCAGGTATTTAGGAACATTTCCTAAGTACTTCTGTCTAGTATATGTAAGAGACTGCGGCCGGAGCGGAGCTGGTGAAGCAGACGAGACTTGCGCCGCTTGCGCCTTGCCACCCGCATGCCTGCTACGTGACGTCATTGCACAACTTGGTCGAGCATGAGCGTGACGAGCAATGTTACCCGCCGCAAAAAAAGTTTTGGTTTGTGGTTACATTTTAATGACGATTGTTCAAATAATGTATAACTTTTCGGGACAACAAATTATATTAGCGGCGAGATGTTTTGGTGGCGCCCTCCTATGGTTCCCCCTTGTGACGTCATTACCTTGCGAACAACAAATTGGATGGTGTTTGTAAATAGCATTGTGGAAGCCTGAAATCAATGCTCTCTCAAAGCAACACTGCCAACACCGTCGAAATTAAAGTTCTTTCATTCCTCTTATTTTCGTCGATGGTATACCCTTTCCGACGTCATGGTCAGCTCTTGGGCCAATCGTGGAAGGCCGACCACAGCGACGCTTTCGGTCGCGCACGTTGCCAATAGAGACATTTATTAGTTGGTGATGCACCATTACCCCGAACTTTCTTCAGTTGCTTCGATGTCAGCGTATCTCCGAGTAGCGCGCGCCTTATACAGGGTGTGCGGAGGTAACCAACAACAGACATGACCGAACTCCAGGGGGAGCATATTCCCTCTGGTCAGCTATTGTTTTGATTATTTTTGAGGACCCATATTGAGTAGCGCGTACTTTCAAATTTTTACCGCTGAGGACTAAATGCGTTACTTCCTGAAATTTACTAATACGAAATTCAAGTGCCTTCCTAATCTCTTGGTTGAAAGGAAAGAGCCCTTGTCCATCAGGGAAATATAAATCTGCCAAAGGTATTGCTTTTGCGTCTTCAACTACCTATTCGAGCCATCTGGCCAATATACCTGACAAAGACTTAAAACCTTCAAGTCCATAAACGTGTTTAACTGCTCCGTGAGCGGCAAGGCATTGGCGATAGACACATACCTCCTCCAGGCGCTGAATATACGCACCAATCTTCCCCCAGGGGTCGCCCAGCTGGGTCTTGGTTTTAGCAGACAATCTTCCGAAAGTTTTTTATTACTAATACTAATTATTTATTTGGGCTCAGTAGAAATGATCTACGCGCACACGGCTTTCTTCCCAAAGTAACGTGTCAGCTTCCATTTATGCGTGCGGTAATAGACCTTATGGTACCTATCATTGCACAGAAATCGTCGGTGCAGGCGCCGCTGGCGCCGCATCCTCGCCTTTGTCGCTTTGCCCCATCTGTCAGCAGCACATTGAAGTAGGCGAGCACCGTCCAGCTTGCTGTGATCACCCAGGCACGGCGGCGTCAGCGGCGTCCGTCACTTTCAAATAATCGAAAGAACTTCAAGTGTGCGATTTTGTTTGTGCCGTTGCGCATCGGAACACAAGGTAAACATGGGAGAACCGGAGGTATCTCAATCCCCCTGATATGACTGCCGGAAGTGGCGTGAACGTACTGTAGAAGAGTGCAATCCACTTATGACGATATTCCTGCTGGCGCAGCTGGCCAAGTAGGCAGCACGGCCGTGGCCTAACGGTTGTCGTGCTTGCCTCCCACGCCAAGAGCCAGGGTTCTATTCCTGGGAGTGACCAGTCTTTTGTTCATTCTTGCAATTTAGTGTTCTGGTAAATTCGAGAACCGTGTTGCTTGTTTGAGGTCCGAATGTTCTACGCGCCGAACCTTCTCCACCGATCGTCCCAGAAGCCCACGCGTGTACATACCAGGCTCCGGGTGCCGAGCCGCACTCTCGCCTCAGTGTTCGATCCTGCTGCTTCGCCGACTTCGACGCCCGCGACGCTTTTTAGTTAGCTTTTTTTTTTTTTTTTTTTTGTCCTTTTTGTTTCAGGCACAAGTTTTCCCCATTAAACGTTTAGTTTCCTCAGTTATCCTTTGCTTTATTACCTCTTCATTCGTGACAATATTGATAAAACCTTAAATTCAATCTTTCTGACTGATTATTTTTGTATCTGCTTTGAAACGGATCGTTTCTCGTCTCGATACTCTAGAAACTGGTCGTTGTAAGCGGACATCGTCATATATGGTATCGTTATAAGTGGTTTGCACGTACAGGAGAAAAGGGGGGCTACCGATCACGCCAGTTGGTGGCTTTTGCGCGTCCGGCATTGCATACAACTTAAGGAAAGCGAGGCGTTGCTTATTACGCTGACGCTGACTGCGTTCTGATTGGTCCTTCGGGCGTTCTTATTAGCATATACCACCATCTCATTGGCTAGGGAACGATAATAAGATGCTTAGGAGTCGCCCGGCGTCTGTTAAGCTCTCAGTGACTACGTAGAGAACAAAACCGTACTGCTCGATTTTCTACGGCACTTACAGGCGGGAAGCTTAAAACCCGTACACCCCGACAAGTCCCTAAGACTTAAGCTGACCAGAACCTCTTTTGTATTTTTATCTGTGATAGAGTTAATATTATTATCATAGAATGGCCACAAGTGCCGCATCATCAATCGGCTGCAAATCACGTTCCCGCCCATTGGACACGAGGCCCATCTGAAGTTTGACGCAGCACTCGTAGTCAATCTATGACTCGTGCTGGCCACCGGTGTGGGCCGTAGAAAGTCCGGCACTCGGGCTAAGGTGCCCGGAACAGCATCTCCGACTGCTGGGTTTGCCGCGTCCAAACAAGCGGTCCCTCAATTTGCGCCTA